GATTTACGTTTGGATTACTCCTGGAATTTGCATTAAATACTCTCTTGAACTTTACTCCTTCGTCGTGCGCTTGATTAGACAGCCAACTCGTTACATTATTATTATTAACCTTATTATTATTATTAATTAATTAATTAATAATGATTGATTGATTGATTGATTGATCAAAATTAGACAGGTAATTATCAGGCAATGATCTCCAAAACTTCATAACTTGTCCCACCAGTGAATCCCACTAGTAAATTTCATCCATTTAACACATCGAATTTCGACCACTGAGCACAAGCAAAAAAGCTTTTAAAAAAAATTAAAAAGCATATATATGCTACTGTCATCTGAAATGCAGGATGAGGTGGATGTGACTCAATTTATTGTGCCCAGCATGCACTATGGGGGCACATCTTTTTGTAATCATGACATTATGGTTGTGTAAACCAAAGTACAAATCCTCTAAGGGTGTTTTTGCGATTAGCACGAGTGAGAAAACTTTCATGCAAAAATGCAAAAGATAAGCTATTGTCAATCGAAACAAAAAACGTGTTAGTCATACCTCAGTATATGGGGCCATATGGGGCCCAGCATGCACCATGGGCGCACACCTTTTCATAACCACAACAATATTGTCGAGTGAACCAAAGCTCAACTTCTGAGCTCCAAAGGCTTTGGTTATGCAGAATGCAAAAACTGTTGTGTTCACAGTATGTTTCCCATTACAACACGGTAAAATGTATAGCCTAACCTAATATGAGAGGCTCAAAATGTACAATGGGGGCACACTGTGTTGTAAGCACTATGTTGTGCTTGTGAGCACCACTCCCATGTTCCAAGTGTGTTTTTAAATATTCAGCATCACAGTTGAACAATTGTCAACCAAACTGTGGAGTGTGGCAGAACCTTGAGATATACTGACATCTCTACAGTATATATAAATGTAAATGTACTTAATGTACTGTATACTGAGATAACCATACATTCAAGGTTTGTTTAAGCTTTTAATGAGTAGTTCACCCAAATTTGAAAAAAGTCATTATTTATTTACTCTCATGTCATTCCAAGCCCGTATGACTTTCTCAGATTATGTTAGTTATACCTTTGCAATAAATAGGTTTAAAACAGTCCAAATGATTTGAAAAGAAATCTGGTTCTCAAGTTCAACTCATTAATGATTTAATCACAATGGTTAACAGCCCACTGGAGAAGAATAACAACAATAAAAAAATTACTGTTTTGCATTGTTTTCTTCTTGTATCACACAGGTCTCCAAGATGAAACAATTATCATTGTCATAAAAATTATTATTATCCTTAATTTAAATTTCTCAGGTATATTAGTGAACATGCTTAAGAAAGAAAAGAAGAAAGTTCAAGATGTCACCTCCCAGCTGGCCCTGTTGTACCCATTAACCAACAAATCATCCACGTCACCCACAACTAAACAGGTGGAAGAGAGTGCAAAATATGACCCCTCTAATGATTACACACATGTTCAGCATTTGATGACCAGAAAAAGAGGTGAGTGAACACAAACCCTATATTATATATCATTCACTGACCAGGATTTGCTACATATTATGGATGCTTTTAATTGCCCAACCACTCAAAAAAAAAGGTGCAGATTCACTGCCACTGACTCTTAGTCAGCAGGATAATGTCAAGGAGGCAGGACAAGGGGAGCACATGGCCAACACCAGTGGTGTAGTGAAGGGTATACGCAGGTATACGGTGTATACCCACTTCTTTATCAGTCGGCTTTGCGTATACCTACTTCTAAGTCCCCTCTGATGCGCATCATTCAGTAGTGTCCTGCATTAGCCAAAATCATGACAGTCCACCATGACTAGCTAATCAAATCGCATGTGAATAATTGCAAATATTCCCTAAACATACCCAGTAAAGACAGTGATGCAGTCGGAATGCGCCCGCTTCCCTTTGAATTTGATTGATGATTGCGCCCGCGCCCGCCTCTCATCTCGACAAATCACGTGAATACAAGCGGAGTTGGTCTGGGGCTTGAGTGCATGTCAGGGAGGCGCGCAGAGTGAAAAATAATATTTAATTATTGACTCCTAATTTGAATCTGTACATTATAACGAAAACAATATCTTAAAAATGAAAAGAAGCAAGTTTTTGCAATCAGATTATTTTTTTAAACCGGTAAACTTTTCAGTTGAAGGATCCAGTAAATGAATGCCTTCAAACAGTAGCCTAAGTTCAAAACAGCTACAGAGAAAACCCGACCGATTTCATTAGAGATTGCTTAGAGTCAGGCCCGGACTGGCCATCGGGAGCACCGGGAGAATTGTTTTTTATTTTTATAGTTATATTATTGGACTGGATGAGTGTGAGATTTCCCGGCCTGAAATTGTGTCCCAGTCCGGCCCTGCTTAGAGTCACCTCCGGAATTATTTTTCAGCGTGTATTTGGCTTAAAAGCACAAGTGTTTTATAATGGACGCTGCTGAAGCCTGAAGGTGTTTTTTTTTTAATTCTGAATGGATCGGTGTAGAAGCTTGTACAGTCAGGTCAAGGCAGTAGGATCTTTTGGCGTCTCCTTGTGGTCCTGTTTGATATTGCAGCTTGACTAGTGCTTAATTGTATTTAAAATGATCTAAACAATTGTATTTTTTATTTTATTTATTTATTTATTTTATTTTTGCACTATATAGTAGGCTATATAGATAAATTGTAAAAAGGTATGGGGGAACTAGGGGGTTACTATTTGCCCGTCACTGTATGCCATGGAAGAAACAGTCAGTCAAACATAGGAGTAGGCTGCACAATTTAAAAAAAAAATTTTTGGTATCAAATAGAGATCATGATCCTCCTACAGATAACTAAACAAAATAGCTTGTCTACTAGAGGTTCTGACAAAATGTTAATTGTTACAGTCTATGTAATTTTTACATTTTAATTATTTATTGCAAAATCTGCACCTCTTTTGTGGCTAATATTATTTTCATAATGATCCTTACTCCGTGAAGTCAAGTAGCAGAAGTTACAGTAAGTGAAAATGTGTAAATACTACTGGCCCATTTTGGGGTGAACTAAATATGCAAGACTAGTCTTACGTCACTGTTTATAACACAGGCCATTCATCCTTTGCTGGGCCGCTTAAAAAAATGGGGACATAAATTAAGGGTATACCCACTTCTCCAGGCACCACTACACCACTGGCCAACACGAACAAAGACACAACCATGTGCTCAGGCACAAGACAAACAAAGAGACATTAAACAAAGACAAGACTAACAAGGCTTGCACATTTTGTATGTCTCCCTTATCTGACACACCCATTTCAGGTCCTGGAGTTTCTTTTAATGAGCTAATGAGTTGAATCAGGTGTGTTTGATTAGGGAGACACACAAAATGTGCAGTGCTGGGGGGCGCCTAGGACCAGGGTTGAGAAACACTGTATTAAAGGGATAGTTCACCCAAAAATGAAAATTACCCCATGATTTACTCACCCTCAAGCCATCCTAGGTGTAGATGACTTTCTTCTTTCAGAAGAATCCAGTCGGAGTTATATTAAAACATTTCCTGACTCTTACAAGCTTTATAAAGACAGTGAATGGGTGTTAATTTACAATAGTCCAAAAGAAGTCCAATAAAGCACATCCATCCATCATAAAAAGTGTCCCACATGGCTCCGTGGGGTGAATAAAGGCCTCCCTTAGCGAATCGATGTGTTTTTGTAAGAAAAAAAATCCATATTTAAAATTTTAAAAACTGTAATCTCTATCTTCCGCTAACTGTTGTACACGCTGTTCACAATAGAACGCTGTTCCGGCAGAAGACGTAGGCGTAGTGTAAGGTCCTGTGAGAATGTGCTAGTCTCATGAGAACCAATGTTTGTTTACAGGAGCAAAGGAAGCAAAGTTATCTTGCTTTAGCAAAGGAAAAAAAACTGTCTCCTCTTGGCTTATATTGAAATCCTCCAACATTTTTCTTTACAAATCTTAAGGTGTGTCTCAATCAGCTCCCAAGCTCTTGAATCAGTATATCTTGTACACAAATTCGATCACTGGTAAGTTCCCTGGCTCACTGCACATTGGGACAGTGATTACTCAATTTCTGGTGACATGACTATGAACAATGTCAACGGACAACATTGTAGAACGTCATTGCTGGAATTATTCAACAATAGACAGGACCGGTTTCTTTTTGATATTATTTTTAAAAACTTTAAACATTATGTTACATGTTCTTTCATTATTTCAGCCGAATATCAATTATAAATGTTAACTAGATGTGTTCATTACCTGTCTAGAGATACGTCTTTATGCTGAAATATACTAATTAAAAGGTTTGTCTTTTCAAATCTTCGATCACGTGTCATTATAATTATTGAGTTGGCTTGTGTGGTTTATGTTTCGCGCTTCAGAAATGTGATGTAATTTCTGGTAAGGGAGCATAGTGAGCACCAATGCTCCCTAGTTTTTGCGGTGTATTGTGGGATTTTTCAGGGAGCGAACGTTCCAGTGCACTGGAAGGATTTGGCAATTGAGGCAGCCCTTAAAATGGCTGACTCCCTGATCAGTGCCCAGACTACTGAACTAGGGAGCCGATTGAGACGCACCCTTCGTTTTGTATTTCTAATTCGTGACCAGTGTTTTGTTTTGCTCTCTTCGTTGCGCATCCCTATTTGTCACTTCTCACCGGACCTTACGCTATGTCCTACGTCATCCGCCAGAACGGAACGCACATACAACAGTTAGCGGAAGCTAGAGATAACTGTTTATAAAGGTTTAAATATGGATTTTGTGATTCATTACAATATCATAATTGGATTGTTACTGAAACTATACAAGACAAAAATAAGAAAGTGCGTGATAAAGACTTGTCTGCAAAACGTCTATATTTATTCTCTCGTCTGACACACTCATTTCATGTCTGGAGTCACTACTAATGAGCTGATAAACTGGATCAGGTGTGTTTGATTAGGGAGACATTCAAAATATGCAATTTTTTGGGTGCTCAAGGAGCAGGCGATAAAAGGGGAAAACCTTTCCCAGAGAGGACTTCTGTGGATCCATGACTATATTGAACTACAGCTGAGATCATTCACATGTCATGCATGTGCATTGTCCACTAGGCCACCTGCCCAACATTGAGTGTTTTTTTCAGGTACTCATTGTAAAACTAGCTTTTGTTTGATTTTGTTGGTTTTGGGTTGTGAGTAAAGGATAAAAATGTTTTGTTTTTATTATTATATGGACAAAACTCTCTTGTAACCATCTTTATTGTCTCACATACTGTATGTGTGTTATAAAGTGAAGTGAAGCAGCAATATCAAAAGTACTTGTGAAACTTCAGTTAGAATTTTAGTTTCTTTGACAAATAATTAACAAAGAATATTGTATAGTAGGCTGCATATTACATACTGTATGTATTTGCAAAAAAAACAAAAACTGATTACTGAGTTTAATACAGTTTTTGTGAGTTTCAGTCCTAGAGTTTGTAACTGAATACCATTTTATTAAATATAATGATATATATGTTGACATGCTTGAATTATCTTAGTAGAGCACATTCTCTTGACTTTTACTACTATGCACTTTTCTCTTTCAGTGCTGGAATTATCTGTGGGTCAGCAGGAGGCATTTGAAGTCTTTCTGAGAGACCATGAAGACCGTTTATCAATTGAAAATAACAGAACTGTGTTGCAACAAAGGTCAGTGTGTGCTACAGTGCTGTTATTAAAATTATTATTATTATTATTTAATGAGATGTTTAGTTGTCCAATATGGGACACGTGGGTAAATATATTTTGTCCCCACCACTTTTTGTCAAAGACGATTTTGTCTCCAACACTTTTTGATTGAAAAACTCTTTGAAAAAAAAAATAGCATGCTAAAGGAGATGGTCCTCACTGCAGAACACAAGATCCAGGGGGCGAGGTTGGATCCAGATCCAACTGCTCCCATATTACATATACCTGGCGCCGCATTGCGCCGGGTGTATGATAGAGCCCATAGTCTCAAATATTTCTCGTGTCTCATTTTTGTCTACTTTAGGAATTTTAAGAGAAACATCTGAAATGCTGTTGATAATAAAATGAGACATATGAGAATCACAACTATGTCTCCTGAGCTTAGGAAGAGCAACCACTGAGCAATATTTTTTTTTTCTCTGGGCAATTTATAAACCTTGTCGCACACATATAGGGATTTATAAGTAATGGTATATGTGCTCAGTGCTCATTTTTACTGAGTGAGCCAAGAGATGTAGTAAACAGAACACTTTTTACATTTACACATTTACATTAAATATACCACTCTCATGAATGGAGTTAAGCGGGCACCCCGTGCTGTCCCTTGCAAGAAGCCGTGCTGGCTGTCTATGTCTGTGTGAAATAGCTTCATCAGGACAGTACTAAATAAAAATCAATATGCAATTTTTAAGATCCCTCTTATTTTGTTAAAACTATGAACATTGTGCTGATTATGCAAGGTGTATGTAAACTTTTTACCACAAATGTACAAGGATTTTCACATCAGCCATTTCATTTTGCAGGTTTATTGAAGCCAAAACACTTGGTGAGCAAGTTAACCAGATCAGGATCAGAGTCAGTAAGTAGTCTCTTCACCTTTTTGTAGCCAAGTTTGGACTCTTGTATTAAGCACATACATTTTATGTTCAACCTATAGTTAGTGGTAGTGTGGTCTGTGTGGGTCTTGATGCCCCAGTATAGTGATGAGGACACTAAAAAGCACTATCCTTAAGATGAGACATTAAACTGAGGTCCTTACTGCTAGGATTCCCCCCCCCCCCCCCCCCCCCCCATTCCGCACCTCCTGGGCGGGGG